CGTAGCCCTATGGGCGTTGCATGGAAAGAATTTGAGACTTAAAGTCGGCAGTGCCGTGTGGCGTGCCCCCCCCCCCCTAATTGAAGGTGTTCCGCCGCTACTGCTCGCCGGACCTATTTGTATTCTACATACACGCCGGCCGAGGGGGGGCGGGTACGACCCCCCCCCCCCATCGCCGTTTCGCCACTGGTGGAGCTAGCGCGTCGCGGAAAAAACGAGCGTGTGCGCCGTTACTAGACGCAGAGATTAATACCTGATTTTAAGGCCTTCTAGGTCAGGGGTCGGCTTACGGCCCGCGGGCCGGATCCGGCCAGGAGGGTGACGGTTGGATCCGGCCCGCGACTATCTGACGTCCGGCCCGCGGCTGGTATCAGCGACTTACATCGTGCTCCGGCCCGCGGTTCCTTCAGAAATCGACTCCGATATAAAAGTGACTTAAATGTGCTTTGGCACAATAGTTCTTCCTTCGCACACTTCATGAGTTTATAAACACCATTTGCGGGTGTTTTTGTCTAATTCTACTTCTAGACAAAACTTGCGCGGGCCGGACGTCAGATGGTCGCGGGCCGGATCCAACCGTCACCCTCCCGGCCGGATCCGGCCCGCGGGCTGTAAGCCGACCCCTGACCTAGAAGGCCTTAAAATCGGGTATTAATCTCTGCCATGGGCGGCGCCACCGGGGGGGACGGGGGGGACAGGTCCCCCGCTATCGAAAGTTAGGGGGGTACAGTACCCCCCTATCGGCGATGCCCGTTCAATAGTTGATAATAATGCATTATAAAGCTATCCGTCGCATTTAATGCATCGTTGGTTAATCAAGGCAGGTTCTGAATAAAGATTGCTGTTGGGATGCACCGCAGGGGGTCCTGGCCATCTGCAAAAGGTGTGGAGCTGTGATGCCTGTAGTTATAAGGTGATCGGCAGGGCCTCGGGGATCGTGCCCCCTTTTTGGGGCGCCAGGCAGGGTTATTACTTATTACCTCCCCACCCCACTGCCAGACCCCATTGCCGATAAAGCCAAGTTCACTGAAATTCCATAGATATCCGTTACTATATGAAAATTTTCCATTCCTAATTAGTCAAATTCAAGCATGGCAGTTATACCAAAGGAACCATTTGAAATCTATGCCATTTAACCCCAGCACTTGTGGGGAGAAGTGTTCGGATAGATCACAGGCAGGACCAAAAAAGCACGCAGTAGCCCAGGACCTTATAATTGGATATAGCATCGGCTCCCTCTCGTCAAGGGGTTCGATAGCACTCGTTTTTTTTTTTCTGCAAAACTAAGTTCGGTCGGCGGCCGAACGGCTGGGGGTCTAATCGAGCCCCCCATCCCTCCCCTTCTTACGTCAGCGGCTGTGAAAATGCCATTACCAGCTGTTGAAACATGGCAGTTGCTTTTGCATGAGTGCACGAAAGGGTTTTAGGTCCGTGATACGTGAAAGGTTCTACATGAAAATTGAGATACACCAGCTTATCAAATTGTGCTCACTGTGGTGCGCTCGGTTTTACCTGGACTAGTCTTTGAATTCTGGGGTGAAACAGACCAGTCAAGAAACCTGTTCCATAAGGAGAGCCACTAAATGCTAAAGAGATGTGGGATGAGGTTTCCAGAGACCTTCATTACCTCCCAAAGGGGGTGCCCCGCCATTTGCCAATCCCTGCTGTAGTTGTTACGATTGGAGGGTGAATATGAGAACGATGCAGGTCGTGCCAGCTCGATCATGACGAACACAATGGTGCCGACATCACAGCTCTACTGCCATTTTTGACGAAGTGAATCAACAAGCACCGGAATCCTACCCTGGGGCATTTCACCTGCAGAGGTCGCCGGACCTGAGACCCTTTCACTCATTTTTTTTTTTCAACGGTGCATGCGCTCGTTTTTCCCGCGAAGCTCTTGGCAAGAAATCGATCAGAAAGTGTGGTCAAATAACGGCTGGGGACCTTCCATGACCTAGCCTTTTGAGTGACCACCGATGACATGACCACTGACGGCTAGCCATTAGCTGCACCCTGCCCGTTGCATATGGATCAGGTGGTGTCATGATTCTGAAATTATATTGCAGTTTTGGCGCACTTGTCAGAGCAGAAGACATTCCCACTTTTCCTCCATTACTATATGATGGTGAAGCCCTGAAGCTGACCAGACGTAAGATCGAAAATTTGAAAGTATGAAACGTAAGAATAGCTGGCACTGCTACTCATACCTAAGCAATTCGCAGCTTGTAGGAAACCAGCTTTGAGTTGGCAAGACTGCAAATTTTGATTTAGAGGCAAGGATGCTTGAAAAGGTGATCGATCTTAGGTGTCCTAGGATAAGTTTGGAAACGGGATGCACCATTCGATGTGTTTTGGGCCTTGCCAAGTTTCGCGGCGTTACGTGCCTCGTTTTTTTGCATACACGATCAGTATCTACTTTTTGGATTTTCGATTTTCGGTCCCCGTCCCCCCCTATCGAAAACCCGTGGCGCCGCCCCTGATCTCTGCGTCTCGTAACGGCGCACACGCTCCTTTTTCCGCGACGCGCTAGCTCCACCAGTGGCGAAACGGCGATGGGGGGTCGTACCCGCCCCCCCCCCCCTCGCCCGCCCTCGGCCGCCGTGTATGTAGAAAACGAATAGGTCTGGCGAGCAGTAGCGGCGGAACACCTTCAATTAGGGACGGCACTGCCGACTTTTAGTCCCATTCTTCATCCATGCAACGCCCATAGGGCTACTGTTAAAAGGCCAAAATTAAAGAGGGGAACGGTGCCCCGGTGCCCTCCCCGTTCCGCCGCCTATGCCGGCGAGGGTACAAGAGATTATATTGTCATTCATCGACCGCGAAAAAAAAGAATGTCCGGGACACAAATGATAGGGATGTTACAATTCTCGGCTCCCACATACAATAGCTTCACCTGACAGACCTCATCTACCTACCTGACTTCAAAAGCTTCGATCATCCATTCCATGCATTAAATTCGTCAATCACTTGATGGTCTGATATTTCTTCATGGTTTTATTGAACCACATTTGTGGACAAATGTTTGCGGAGACAAAGCGCAGACAAAGGTTTGCGGACGAAAATATGCGCAGACAAAGATTTGCGGACGAAGAAATGCGTGGACGAAAAATGCGGACGAAGATTTGCAGACGAAGATTTGCAGACGAAGATTTGCGGATGAAGATGTGCGGACGAAGATTTGCCGGGACGAAGATTTGCGTGGACGAAGAAATGCGGACGAAGATTTGCGTAGACGAAGAAATGCGTGGACGAAAAAATGCGGACGAAGATTTGCGGACGAAGATTTGCGGGGACGAAGATTTGCGGACGAAGATATGCGCAGACGAAGATTTGCGTGGACGAAGAAATGCGGACGAAGATTTGCGTAGACGAAGAAATGCGTGGACGAAAAAATGCTTGACGAAGAAATGCGCGTACGAAGAAATGCGGATACGAAAAAATGCGCTACGAATATTTGCGCTTACGAAGAAATGCGAGACGAAGTTATGCGACACGAATAAATGCGTCGACGAAGATTTGCGGACGAAGAAATGCGGACGAGGAATTGCGCGACGAAGAATTGCCAGTGTTGCCAGATTTGGAGGATTTCCGCAAATCTGGAGGATTTTGAACTCTATTTGCGGACAAATTTCGCTTTTGGAGGATTTTTGATTCTGGAGGAAAATCTGGAGGATTTGTCGCCCGATTATTATATTCAATTTCATGGAAAAATATAACACATTCAAGACTAAAAAGGCATTTTCCTGCCCAGCGTCACCCTACCCGTTAGGATATATCACGTCCTTTATCACCGTGAGACTGCAGAATGTCTCAGTCTGTAGCTATATTTACGAGGGTACCAAACTACTGGCGGATCTAAGGGGGACATTTGGGGCAAATGCCCCCGGCCCCCCTGCAGCGCCTGAAATCGACGAAAATTTTCGTTTTTTGAAGATAAAACGAAAACTCAACAACTTTTATAAGAAAAAGTATCTTTTAAACTGCACAGCAGTGCGAAAAGATTCGAAATCCGATGGGTTTTTAGTATTTGGTGAAACTTTTTTGGGGGTATAGCCCCCCGCAGCGTCCAAGACCGCCTTTCTATATCTACCAATAGGATTTGGAGGAATCTGGAGGATTTTTTGTAACTGATATAGAGGATTACAGCCTTCCCCATCTGGCAGCACTGAGAATTGCCATACGAAGATTTGTCCGGTTACGAACGCCAAACGGTGAAGGTCATCCGAACTCAGCGATTTTGCGCACTGGCACGGCCTTGGCACGGCCTCAGCTTCTCACTTGAGGTTGAGATCAGATTTTGTTAAAATTTGATCGTCAGTTTGCAAGGTGATGATGTTGATATGATAATGTTTTATATGATATCAATGTAGTTGGAGATTTGACTTCCACAGCATCCAAGTTCAAATAGGCAATATTTTATTGTAATTATTTTGCTTAGGTTATTATATTTTTGTTATGAATAGTGCTTTAAATTCAGACTGGTAAAAAATCCATACACTATGCTGGACACCCCATTAACTCTCATGCATCAAAATTTATTGCAAGTGATTTGGAGCAAAATTTTGGCACATTGTGCCAAAAGTTGAAGTTGAAGCTTCATTGTGGAAAATTCAGCTTTAACCGTTTGTAAATTTTAAGCATTAATTATTTCTCTGAAACTCTTTTCACATATTTCCTGCCATCAGATTCAGTGCTAGGTTTTCTTTCTTAGTTTCCTTCCATTCTACCTCCTAAGTCCTACCTAAGTCCTAGCTGACTGATGTTTACAATGGATTAGCACTGATTCTGAATGTCTGGATACTGGATGTAGGTGCACATTGTCAAGAAGGCTTATTTAGGAGAGATAGATAGATTCAGTGCTTCACTCAATCTGGGTTTGCACAGTTCAGTAGAGGTCAAGAAAGAAAGAAAAAGCGGGACAAATGGATGTCTGGATGGATGGATGGATAAATGGATGGTCTAAGCTCATCTTACAGCCATTTCTGCCTTTTCAGACCAGCTGGTTTGTGGGAGCTAGCATCTACCCTTCTCTGCCATGCCTCTGCTGGAGCTGCCCATACCTCTGCTGCGGCGCCTGGCTGGTCTCTGCTCCCCTGCCTCTCGGTGTGTTGTGCTCTCTCTGACTCATCAACGGCCCACCTCGGCACCCCTCCACCTGCCTTCGGACGACGCGGACGACTCGCGCGGCGCCGGCGACCGCGCCGGCCGGCCCGAGACCGCCTATGCAGAGCCGACGCGCTCGCGGCGCAAGTTTGTGGAGCGTTTCCTGCGCCGGGAGCTGGGCCTGAGCTGGTCGTGCGCCGAGCGGGAGGCGGCCCGGTGGCGGCTGCCCACGGACGCCGGCCTGCCGCTGCTGGCCGACAACCTGGCCTTCCTCACAGAGCGCGGGGTGCAGCTGCGCCACCTGCAGCAGGACGTGGACGTGCTGGCCGTACCGCATGGTGAGTCGGACGGCGCAGCCGCGGAGCTGGAGAGACGGTGGGTGGGGTCGAAGGGAGGAGGTCCGGACTATGGTAGACGGACAGGGGATGTTTTGTTCAGACTGTCCCTGCCACTGTGTTTCGATGTGTCGATCTGCTCTAACCCCCGTTGGTCTGTCTGATACACTCAGGTGACCTGCTGCGGGTGCACGGCCTGGTGAGCGGCCTGCCATGCGCCGAGTACTGTCACTACTACCCGCTGAGCCGTGCGCGGCCCGACCTGGTGGAGCCGCTGTTCCGGCGCCTGCCGACGCCGCACTCCAACCTGGTGCACCAGCTGGCCGACACACTACAGGTGCGCCGAGAAACGGGGAGGTAGTGCAGCCAGGGGAAATTCGGAGAGACATTAGGTGCGGGGAGCAACGGGGATGTGCCGCAGGTTGCGGGGCGAAACGGCGAGATGTATACTGCGGAAACGGCGAGAATCGAAATGGTGCAGCTGGAAAGGGAACTGGACAGACACTGCAGCTGGGAGGTGGGCGGGGACACTGCAGGACGCCGGGAGCTGGGACTGCAGATGATAGGCCGTGGGATTGGGACTGGGAGTAATGCAGCTGGAGTAGAACATAGATGAGATAATGCAGCTGTGGAATGGATGGGAAATGGTAGAATTCTCCCCAGCCTCCTCCACGTTTCATTTTGTATTCCTCGCGCATATTTTGGTCAGATGCTTCGCCGTCTCCTTTCGTTGGTCATTCATCTTGTGAAGTCGAGCACCACCTGGCGGTGAGATTTAAAACTATACGTTTTAGGCCTGGAGCTAGGTGGCGGCTGTTCGCCGAGCTTTTACCGGCCGGACGGTGAAATGTCACGAAAAACGTGACACCGTGAAAAAGCCCTGGGCCCGGCACGGACCGGCTGTGGAGAAGGTATGGGCGATGGTGGTATAGTGGTGAGCATAGCTGCCTTCCAAGCAGTTGACCCGGGTTCGATTCCCGGCCATCGCAGCAGTGTTTTGACCTTGCAGGTCAACAAACCCAGGTCAAGTGTTGGAGGTGTAGGGCATGAAACCAAGTGCGTGGTAACTGGTATCGTTAACTGAAACAGACTCTTTCCGCGTTCGGGAAATCGCATGCGAGAGCCTATTCAAATACATTATAATTCTTCCCGCATCAATCGCATCCGTGAGGTGCGTGCGATTGATGCGAGCGTGCTTCCATTCCATGTATTTGAATAGGCTCTCGCATGCGATTTCCTGACTGCGGAAAGAGCCTTTTTCAGGCTTTAGTCAATCAGATCACAGATGCGAGAACGCTATAAGACCAATAAAACGGCTTTTGTGGGCGAAAAAAGGAGCGAGGGAGAGGGTGAGCCTTGCACGTGCGGAATCGCGAGGGGGTACTTCCAATGACTTGTGTACGGCACCCTACTTAACGGTCTCTAGCGATGTGCCAGATTTGAGCGCAATCGGCCCAGCCGTTCTCGAGATCTGGAAGCGGCACCCTGAACGTGCGCACATGCAAAGTGGGTCCCAACGGACTTCTGCACGGCACTCTACTAGCTGGTCCCTAACCTTGTAACAAATTTGAGCGCAATCGGTTCAGCCGTTCTCGAGATCTGGAACCGACCCACGCACGTGCGCACATCCAGCAGCACCCCTAATGTGGCGCGATTTTGGATGTTGCGGTTTCGGATGTAGTGTTTTTGGAGGTTACGTGCTTGGATGTTGCGTACTTGATGATACGTTTTTTGATGTTGCGGTTTTGAATGGTTTTGGACGTTGTGAATGCTCCCTATATAGTCGATTTTGGACGTATTTCGGATGTTGCGTACTTTGGACGCTACGGTTTTGGATGTTTCGTACCTTGGATGCTGCGTACTTGGACGCTTTGATGGTCCCCCGCTCATTTCTATTCCCCTTTCTCCTTTCCCTTTTATTTATTATCATTCAGGGCGGAAGCGACCGTATCTGTCTTGTTTCGTGCGATGGTTGCGATGCTCCTCCCCTCCTCATTTATCCTGCACCATTTCACATTGGCTTGTGTCTGTTTGGGTCTGGAGTGCTGACCGCTGGTGTTGTGGCCATTTGCAGCTGCCGGAGCTGACAGTCAGCAGAGCGGTCAGCAGGATGGCCAGCCAGGTCATCAAGAACAGCCCCGAGAAGCTGCTGTCCAGCGCCAGACTGCTGACAGGTGAGCCTTGCTGTCAGACAGAATTAATTATCCCTGACCCTACTGCTGACAGGACTGTCCCCACTGTCAAATAGGACTGTTCCTCCTGTCAAACAGGACTGTTTGACTGTCCAGACAGCTGGACTGTCCCACTGTCGGGCAGGATTGCCTAATTGTCACACAGGACTGCGGACTATCAGACAGGACTGAATGTGAGTTACGTGCAGCTGCAGGTGCCCTCCGTCCGACCTGTCCCTGTTCCACCGGTCCCGCTTACCTCTCTGACTTTACCCCGTACCTACAGAGCTGGGGTACCGGTGTCGCCCTCTGACTCTCTCTCGGTACCTACAGAGCTGGGGTGCCGGTGTCGCCCTCTGACTCTCTCTCGGTACCTACAGAGCTGGGGTACCGGTGTCGCCCTCTGACTCTCTCTCGGTGCCTACAGAGCTGGGGTATCGGTGTCGCCCTCTGACTCCCTCGGTACCCACAGAGCTGGGGTGCCGGTGTCGCCCTCTGACTCTCTCTCGGTACCTACAGAGCTGGGGGTGCCAGTGTCGCCCTCTGACTCCCTCGGTACCCACAGAGCTGGGGGTGCCGGTGTCGCCCTCTGACTCTCTCTCGGTACCCACAGAGCAGCTGGGGGTGCCGGTGTCGCCCTCTGACTCTCTCGGTACCCACAGAGCTGGGGGTGCCGGTGTCGCCCTCTGACTCCCTCGGTACCTACAGAGCTGGGGTACCGGTGTCGCCCTCTGACTCTCTCTCGGTACCCACAGAGCTGGGGTACCGGTGTCGCCCTCTGACTCTCTCGGTACCCACAGAGCTGGGGTGCCGGTGTCGCCCTCTGACTCTCTCTCGGTACCCACAAAGCTGGGGTACCGGTGTCGCCCTCTGACTCTCTCTCGGTACCCACAGAGCTGGGGTGCCGGTGTCGCCCTCTGACTCTCTCTCGGTACCTACAGAGCTGGGGGTGCCGGTGTCGCCCTCTGACTCTCTCTCGGTACCCACAGAGCTGGGGTGCCGGTGTCGCCCTCTGACTCTCTCGGTACCCACAGAGCTGGGGTACCGGTGTCGCCCTCTGACTCTCTCTCTCGGTACCCACAGAGCAGCTGGGGGTGCCGGTGTCGCCCTCTGACTCTCTCGGTACCTACAGAGCTGGGGTGCCGGTGTCGCCCTCTGACTTTCTCGGTACCCACAGAGCTGGGGGTGCCGGTGTCGCCCTCTGACTCTCTCGGTACCCACAGAGCTGGGGTGCCGGTGTCGCCCTCTGACTCTCTCTCGGTACCCACAGAGCTGGGGGTGCCGGTGTCTGAGCTGGGCCGCTCGCTCTACCTGCTGCGGCTGACCGGGGCGCGCCTGAGGCGGCGCGCGCAGCAGTGCAGGAAGCACGGAGTCCCGCTGCGAGCGCACTATCTAGCCATGACCGACGACAACTTCCAGAGGTCAGTCATAGCGGGGTGATCCAGCGGTCGTCGGACAGTGCCGGTCGGCACTGTCCTACCCTTTTATCATTTATTCATCCAGTTCAGTTGTTCATACTCATTGCTCGACATGTCTAAGTCAGTCATGTCAACTGCTTGGACTGCTTATGCTATTCCATTTCGCGAGCTGACGTCACACTTATTTTATTTATTTATTTATTTATTTATTCAAGTGATCACCAACAGGGCGGACCCCCACTGACAGGCGAAGTCAAACTAATACTGTACATGATAAACAATGACATACGGGCAAACAATGCAGAGTAAACAGTATGTAAATATTACGATAAATATAGCTAAAAATATAATGCACAAAAAAGATGTGAGTTAACCCTCGCCCGCACATGGGGGGGGGGGGGTGGTTGCCACCCCCCCCCCCCCAGGCAGTCTTTCTGCTCTGCACTCAACATTTTTAGAGCTAGAAGGCTGATTTTTCGTATAGCTGCTCGTCTATCCTTTCTTGATGTCCACTGAAAATTTCAAGTTTCTGTGATTTTTGGTTTCGGAGATATGACCTTATTTTTCAGGTCATGTCATGACCCAAATGGCCAATTCTCAACATCTTGCGTTTGCCATGGACCTTGTGAGCTTTTGACACCCTGATTCGGCCTTTTTTGCCAGTCTTACCTCCCACCTATCATGGAACATGTTGTTCGACGATGTACAGGGGTCAAGGTCAGGGTCAAGGTCAACCTAGGTCATCTAAGATAATTGCGTTTTAGGCAAGCTGAATTTACTTTTTGTGAAGTTTTTTGACTGCATTTTTGGTAAAAGCTTCTCAGATCATGATTTCATGTGATATGGACCCAAAAACAATCGGTGCACACATCAGTATACACACAGACACACACAGACATACAAACACATATAATTGACCTTGACCTAACTTGACCTGAAATGACCTCAGCAGCAAAATTCTGGTCGGATAGTGTGACAAAGAGGTTCTAGCTGGCTTGGCACCAGAAAACAGCATCGTCATCGGTATTTGATAAGCAGCGCACTTGATATCCAACGGTGACCCAAAACAGCAACATTTTTTAGTTTGACCTGACCTGGAAGGTCAATGACTGACCTGAGAAGGTAAAACTGGGTATCATTGGATTCGTCTCTTCCCAAAGAATCTTTTTGGTCTTTACTGCTAAGCTCTATCTCCAACAGGAACGAAATGGCGCGGGGGGGGGGGGTGGCAACCCCCCCCCCCCCCATGTGCGTTCTAGGATGGGAAAATGGCATGTGCGGGCGAGGGTTAAGATGAATCTAAAAAAAAAAACGGAGCTTGTGAAAAGTCTCTATGACTTTAAAAAGATGATATATACTTCAAAACATGAGATTTAAAAGTCCCAGTGGCATCGTCAACACTACTTCTGGTAGTGTTGGAGGAATAGGCTTGTTGACGTCTCCATGGAAACCCAATTTGACACGTGTAATAGCAGCGTGCTGCTATCACCGGTGAAACAGGACCCTCTGCTCGCAGGCTGCTCTCGTCTATTCGATCTGCATATCATCCGCGGATCACATGAGGATAGTACTGTCCGTAACTCTTTGACCTAACACACCTGCGGTGTCCTCCTCCATCCCACCTGATACCTAACCTACACGGCCCTCTGACCCCGCCGTCCCCTCCCCAGGCGCCCTCTGACCCGCCCCTCCCCTCCCCAGGCGCTCTCTGACCCCGCCGTCCCCTCCCCAGGCGCGTGGCTCGCGGCGGCCCTCTGACCCCGCCCCTCCCTCCTCCCCAGGTGCCCTCTGACCCCGCCCTCCCCTCCCCAGGCGCGTGGCTCGCGGCGGCCCTCTGACCCCGCCCTCCCTCCCCAGGCGCCCTCTGACCCCGCCCTCCCCTCCCCAGGCGCCCTCTGACCCCGCCTCCGCTCCCAGGCGCGTGGCTCGCGGCGGCCCGCTCTGCGAGGAGACGGAGGACGTGGCGCTGACGGTGGCGCTGCGTCTGGGCGTCTCGCGGGACCGGGTGGTGGAGCAGACGCGCTGCTCGGACGTGCTGCGGACGCTGCGCGCCGGCCGTCTGGAGACGGTCACCGGCCTGCTGGAGCGCGCCGGCTACGGGCCCGCCGAGCGGCTGGCCGCCCTGCTGACCGTGTACCGCGGCCGGCCCGAGCGGCTGCGGCACCGGCTCGAGCTGTGCCGCCGGCTGGGCAGGCCCAAGCCGTCGCTGGCCGTGCTGGCCATGGACCAGAGGAGGTTCGAGACCAGGCTGGCTCGGTGGGCCAGAACGGCGGGGGCGGAGGAGCCGGATCGGGAAACTGTGCGGACCGAAGACACAGAGCGGCAGTGACGATAGCGGTCTTGTGGCAGAGGAGAGGAGCACGGCGTGGTGAGTGAGAGCGACGTAGAGTCGCAGCGGCGTCCGTGGTGCTTATCGGCAGTTTGGGAACAGTGGAGAACGGTTATGCCGCGAATCTGGAGACACGCCAGTCAGTTGAAGTTCAATAGGCGGAGCTGGCCGTGTCAGTGTTCCCGTTTGCACTGGATATTACATATCCTTGTTGTGACGTGATGCTTTATGTTTACGGTTGTCATTACGTTTGATGCGCTGATTAAGCCAACTACAGGGTGGACCAAAAAGGATGGAAACATTGTGAACTCGCATAAGATATGTGCTATTGCATGCAGGTGACTGAAAATGATACCAAACGAGAGCACATTTCGTGGAAATTCATAATGACATCTCTCTCATCTGCTTTCTCTCGTTTTCAGTCTCTCACAGCAAATGTTCGAAGAGGCCACCTTTGCGAGACAGGCACAGAGCGGCCCGCCTGCCGGCTGACGCGATAGCCCGATGACACATGTGCTCTGGTATGACTCGCACAGCCTTGGTGATCGCTCTTTTCAGATAACAGAGGCCTACATAACCTTCCTTGTAGACCTGGCCCTTGAGATGACTCCACAGGAAAGGAATCCATAGGTCAGATGAAAAGACAGACAGGCCAGTTCCACTTCGGTTCGAGGATAGGAGCGACAACACCGTGACTGACGACCAAAAGCGCTACCAAGCGACGCTAAAGAAGTTGTTGAAGTGAGCCCAAACGAAGTATGGCAGTCTCATGGACTTCATGTGATTCCAGCCAGACGGTGCGCCTCCTCACAGTCACATCGCGAAACAACGCTCAAGTGGAGCGCGAACCACTTTGGTGACCGGCTGATATCCCGCAGTGCCTGTCGGAACTGGCCTGTCTGATCACCTGACCTGACCCGGATGGATTTTTTCCTGTGGGGTCATCTCAACTCTCAAGGCCAGGTCTACAAGGAAGATTCTAAAGGCATCTGTTACCTGAAGAGAGTGATCACCAAGGCTGTGCGAGCCAAACCAGCGGACATGTGTCATCGGGCTATCGCGTCAGCAGCCAGGCGGGCCGCTCTTTGCCTGCCTCTCAAAAGTGGCCTCTTCGAACATTTGCTGTGGGAGACTGAAAACGAGAGAAAGCAGATGAGAGAGATGTCATTATGAATTTCCACGAAATGTACTCTCGTTTGGTATCATTTTCAGTCACCTGCATGCAATAACACATATTTTGTGCGAGTTCAAAATGTTTCCATCCTTTTTGGTCCACCCTGTATTAGGGTATATTTATCAGTAAATCTGGATACCGTGAATGTTTGCTGATCACTTTCATGCATTTGGCAACCCTAATGTGCCTTCTCCGAGGCTTGTCAATAAATACTATTGCTATATTTTATTGTAGGTCGTTTGTTGGCAGTTGTCTGTTTATTTCGACCCGACTGTTCCCCAAATTACCTAGACAAACGACAAACGACGTGATAGTCTAGTATCGCAAAAAGCTAAGGAACCCGAAAGCAATGGCAGGAATGCTACGAAACCATCACTCACTTCCGCCTGGTAACATCGGAACATGAACTAGGAAGTCAGGAGATGCAGCTGTCTTGAAAGCAGAGCTGACAAGCCAGCTCTTCCCGGACCGCTGCTGCTGAAATCAAAGCGTAACACTGCGTGTCACCACAGGCTTTGTCGCTGTGCAAACCCTACGCTTTGTTATGTACCATTTATTATACGAATATCTATGATCAATTGCCTAATGCAGACGGATAAAGCGGTTTTCATCGGCTCGGTACTTAGATACGGTCGCACATGCTACATCTTAGTCCGACTCAATTATTCATTGCCCGTAGTTGGTGCGTGCACTAGTGATAAGTGAAGATCGGTCGGCCTTCGGCCCGGCCTCGTCTGTTCAATGTTCATAGCTGCAGCGGTGGTGGCGTACAGCGTAAAATAGCAAGATCTGGAATGGATAAAGCTTAGGGCAAAAAAGGTACATTACACAATAAACTGGGGTCGAATCAACCTACCGACAAACGACGAATAAAAGTTCGAACCTTGTAACCCGGCCTCGGATGGTGTAGCTTTAACAATGATGAACAATGCAACAGTTTACCCCACACAAGCACTTACAAGGCAGTAAATACAATGCGATGACAATGGAAAAAAGCTCTTGCATTACTACAGCCCAGTGACAAAAACCAGGCAAGCGTAGCTTAGCATGACGCGTTCAATTACAGACAACAACCAAATCACCATGTATCTCACAGAACAAGAGGCGACCATCATTGTGAATACCCCACCATTTCAGTGGCGAGATAGCTCTTTTTCGTCTCGAGGTCGTGGTAACCGATCGGTCCCCGCTCACAGTCAGCACACACGAGGTACTTCTTATTACCCACGGTCTTGCTGAAGCCGATATTGTAGAAACTATACATGTCATCGACTTGCCACCAGCTTTTCACTGTGCATGTTTCATTACCGTCTTCGGCAGGGAGCTGTTCTTCAAATTCCCTGTGGTTGCTGTCGCCAGCTAGGAGGATTTTGCAGGGACAGTGACGACAGATGGCGTTCTTTGCATTCTTGCCGTCAGGTGACACATTTGACATTTTGAAGCTGGCTGTGAATCTGTGGAAAAGAAAGAATTGTAGTGAAAATTAAGGCCCAGCATTAAATATATGTTGGGAAGTGGAGCAACAAGGTGCCTGAAACAGGCAAGCTTGCAGGAAATTTTATGCCTTACCTTAATTTGATCGGGATTTAGAGGCCACTTGGCCTGTAGGGAACCGTTCTCATCGAGCTCGTGACCTTTTAGACTTTTCTAGCTCCTATCAGGTACCTGATGTTCGCCCAGTGGGCATCCAGTCTTGATCTGAATTGCTCGATATTGGCAGCATCAACGACCGTCTGAGGCAAGCCATTCCAGTCATTGTATGCCCTTGCACTTTGCGATTTTCTCCTTGGTCTGGTGGTGGCTCTGGGCTTCTGGACCTTCTGCGATTGGCCTCAAGTACGACCGTCGGTGGCAGCAGCAAATAATTCTTCCGGAGCCAGGTCAACGCCTCCATGGAACAGCTGGTACATTTGTATCATATCACCTCGACGCCGACGATAGAACAGTGAGGGCAGTTTCAAAAATTGTAGTCGCTCCTCAAAGGGAATGTGTCTGATTAACCCTCGCCGGCCGAGGGGGGGGGGGCGGGTGCCGCCCCCCCCATAGGGTTTTTTCGCGATAGCTCCGAACACGCTGGCGATAGAGACCTGAAACTTGGCATACCTGACCTTTGTACAAAGCCGTATCTTTTGACACCAACCGCATTTTTGGGTCAGGTCAGGTCACTGACCTATGGCGTCATAAGTGAACCTCTGCACGGTCTTCAGATGTCGCAACTTCGCAACGCCCTCACTGCCAGAGGAGATGTCACAGGGAAATGAAACTTGCAGGATCTAGTATCCATCATGAGTCTCACAACTTGTATATCTCGGATTTTTCCTAAATGTCATATGAGGTCAGGTCATTTTCGTGACCTCACTATTATAAGTCAATAGGGAAAAATGAACTGCTATTCTGGCGCCGGGAACGATCTCCAACTATCTCAAGCACACAGAATCGTGATTTGATGCACTCCTTGCAAGGTTAGATGCGTCACTTTTGCAATGTTGACCTTGCGTGACGTCATTTATGACGTCATCAAGGTCATATTAGTTTTTCGTCAATAACTCCCGATCAAATTGAGCTAGCGAGTCGGGAAAGCCACCACTGGACTCAGGAAGACCTGCCGAATCGAATGATATGCGACATGACCTCTTCCGACCAAATTCGTGACATGGGGGTGCTGACCTGACCTTGACCTGAGGTCAACACCCTAAGTTGACCTGACCCGAACAAAAAGTATGACTTTCGACGCGGCTGAGCGAGGCGAACACGATGCTGCCAAAATCGCGGCTCTGCGACCGTTTTTTGCCAAGTTATTCACCAAAAACTGAACCGTATCTTGGGCCACTTGACCTGACCTCAGAGGTCACCGGTTGACCTAGGACCTTAAAATCGGGTACCTACCAATCTCTGCGTCTCGTAACGGCGCACACGCTCGTTTTTTCTTGACGAGCTAGCTCCACCAGGGGCGAAGCGGCGAGGGGGGTCGTACTCGTCCCCCCCCCCTCGGCCGGCGCGTATGTAGAAAACCAATAGGTCCGGCGAGGGTTAAAGCTCGGGGTTACATGAGCAGAGTTGATACGCATTACAAACGGACTACAATGGTCAGGGGCGGATCCAGAAAATCTCCAAGGGAGGGGCCATTAGAAACCAGGAGGCCCCCATAATCCCACCTGTTGGAGGCCCCATCTTCCCACTTGTTGGGCCCCCCCCCAAAAAAAAAACTGCGTCTATTGAGCTTATCTAGCTGTTCAGGCAACATCTCAACATGAATAGCCACTTTATTTTCAGGAGGCCCCCTTTTCAGCTTTTTAACTTTTTATTTTATTTTTGAAAAAAATCGGCCAAGGGGGGGGGCCATGGCCCCCATGGCCCCCCCCCCTTGTATCCGCGCCTGACAATGGTGAGCGAATAGGAAAATCCGTTCCTGATACGCATTTACTTGCTCATGTAACCCCGGTAAAAGTTACCAGGCGCGTTGCTCTCCGTTGGACACGTTCGATCAGAAGTTGGTCGGCGCGATTGAATGGGCCCCATGCCACGTTGCCGTATTCCAAGTGTGGGCGCACAAGTGTTTTGTACAGCAGTGGGAGGATGGTCTCGTGGACAAGCTCGAGCGATTGTTTTATGATTCCCAGGATCTGGTTAGTCTTCGCCGCTGCAGCAGCAGCCTATTTGCGGAACTTGAGCGAGGAGTCCACGAAGACACTATCGCGGTCGGCTTCGACCACCTCCAGCTCAACTCCTCGGATGGCGTATTTGACCCGAGGGTTGTTGCGTCCCAGGTGCAGGATTTTGCATTTCCCCTCGTTGAATGGGAGCTGCCAGCGGTCGGACCATGCCACTAGATCAGTGGTCGGCAGGTCATTCGGGGTCGTGCCCCCTTTTTGGGCGCCAGGCAGGGCCATTACCCCCACCTACCAGACCCCATTGCTGACACAACCAAGTTTACTGAAATTCCATACCGTCCTGGAACTCTTTGGGTATTTGTGTATCGCGATGTAAACGCGATGGGCTCGTAAGCGGATAGGGCTTTACCGTTTACGCTCCATATGTGAAACGATCTTTAGGCAAAAAATTCCGACAGGCGGCCATTTTTCTGTTGGTGAAAGTGGCCTCTGGACCCATAATAACCGTTGGCTTATGAGCTTTTTCTGGAGATCATCTTGAGCCATAAAATCTCACTTCAAGAAGTTATAGCGGGTCCCGATTTTCTCGACACTTGTCATTGCCCTCTTGAATGAGACGGAATGACCAAGGACCTTAAAAATGGGCAGCAGCGGCTTCCTATTGTCACGGGTAGCACGCTCGTCTTTTTTATGCACAGCTCCATCTCAGAGTCCGAGAGGCCGCGGGGGTCCGATCGACTCCTCCCCCTTACGTTAGCGGCTGTTGAAACGCCAACAGACGGACGACGGTTAAAAGTTGCAGCTGCTTTTGTACGACTGTACGGAGGGGTGAGATGGTGAGGCGAGCAGGTACAGTCCACAGCAGAAGTAATGTGTGGTTTCAGTCATGGGTATGTTCTGCTTCTGAAGCTTAGGAACGATTAGCCAGACTACAATGAAACTCTGAATGTAGCTTATATGTATCGTCACCCTTGCAGCTGCAACTTTAGCTATTGACATCTTCTTTTCGATCACTCCGCATTAAACAATCGCCAGTCAAAGCCAACCGTTAAGATTGGTAAAACCCTACATTACTTTAGCGGTGGGCTGTACATGAAAATTGGTATCTAATCAATGTGTGCTGGGCCTTTGGCCTGGGCTAATCTTTGAACCTTGGGATGCAACAGTCACGATGGCTCCATCACTGGAGCTACAAACTAAAAAGATAGGCTTTCTCAGAATCCCTCATTACCCCACCGAAAGGGCTCCATTACCCCCAAAGGGGGCATGCCCCACCATTTGCCGACCCCTGCACTAGATCATCGATGTCGCTTTAGAGTGATGTCGTTACCGTTGGGTCTCGCACCAGCTGCATATGCGATATTTGGGCAGAGTGGTAGCTGCCATCTCTGTGACGAGAGACAGCCACCTCTCCCTCCGCATCAGCCTCCGGTAGGGACTAGGGTACTGACGGGGTTACGATTTTGCTCATCCCTCGCCGGCTGGGTGTCTTGGGTGGGGTGGCCTCTGCCAGCTCTGGATTGAGCGACAGCCATCCCCACAACCTCAGCGGCTTCTGAGCGGGAGACACTTTCTTGCTGTATTGTCCGGTACAGCATTGTATCATCAGCAA